ACCTCGCTCTACAATCGCACGTACTGTGAGTAGAATAATGACAGCTCGTGCAAAGCACAATACGCGTAGAGGCGCGGGGTAAAACCGGGGGGCTTTGCGCCCCCCAAATCAGGGGTTTTCCGTCATTGGCAACCAGAGGCTGCTTCGAGCAAGGAAACATGATTATGGTGGGAAGAAGAGAAACACACTTGATAAAGAGTACGTGACAGCAAAAAATCAACGCCAGTAGCTCTATGAGGTAATTGCACATCCTTATAACAGAAGCAACTGACATGCAAGCTGTTAATTAGCAGGAAAATATGGACGTCCGGTTTTGCCTTCAGGGCCTACAAGTTTATGATTGGTTCAGATCAATATGATTCCTCGATTGCACTGCTTGATATTGTGATACCGGTGCATTGCCTGCTAACAGGACAATGTTCCTTCGGTTATACAAGGAAGGTCTACAAATATGAATATTTTCAGGTCAACATAATATTGTGCTGAGTGTAATGGGCGAAGTACCCAGGCACTTCACTACTTTTTGAACAAATTAAAATAAATTCTATTCATTGGTCCAAACGACATCGATAACAAAATCTTGTCAATTTTAACGATTCTCAATTTTAAATTTTTTTAAAAATGCGTATCGGCAGTGCTAAAGAGTTTCTTGTGTTGATTAGGTGTCGAACGACAGACGCTGCTCATTTCAATCGTGCAATCTTGCCATGAAAAGTGAAGTATGTGGCTCGAAATTAATTACCAGATTTAAAGCTTGAACATGTCAGTTCTTAACATTGTTAGAAACGCAATTTTTTTGGATTACTGTGCAGTGTGCAAATCTTCATAAAGTAAGTTCGTTGGAAAACTTGACACTTGCTTGGCGGCATTCAACTGATGTTTCAAGAACACGCAGTTTATCTTTCAAAATTTTGACATCAATGGAAATTTCTTAACTTAAGGTTTATGTTGGCATGAGCGTGTTCTTTTAGCTGCTCGCATTCGTAATCTTCAGCTTCAACATTTTATGATTCATCGAGATAGCTGGATCACATTGTGGAACAGAAAATTGAGCATTGGCAACAGTCGACTGAGTAGAAGCGTAGTGAGGTCAACCGTGCACACTGTTAGAAAATCGACCGTAAAAAAAAACCTTCCCACCGGCGTTACAGTGGCCGGTTATTTACCGTTAAATTAAACGGCGGGAACGTTTTCCCCGCACGAAAACGGTACGCCCGTTTTGTACTTACGGCTTCCTACAGTTTCTTTCATACAGACTATTATAATCCGACATAGCGAGACATAAGAAGACATAACGAGACATAAGGAGACAAAGCGAGACATATGAAGACATAGTGAGACATAAGGAGACATAACGAGACATATCGAGACATAAGGAGACAGCGAGACATAAGGACACAGCGAGACATAAGGAGACAGCGAGACATAAGGAGACAGCGAGACATAAGGACACAGCGAGACATATGGAAACATAGCGAGACATAAGGAGACATTGCGAGACATAAGGAGACATAGCAATCTCAGTGGAGCGGAATGGTTCCCCCACACTCGAGACAAGCCGCGCTTGCGAAGGGGCCCACCCTGAATGTGAAGAACCCAAGGTGCCTACAAAAGCACGAACGGTGCTGATCCAGCTCGGAGTGGTAGGGGCGCGGGAGTATTGCGGGCCAGGATTCTGGGGAGGTGATGGGGTCGACCCTGGGGAGTTGAGGCGGTCAGGACTCTGGGGAGTTGAGGCGGCAGGACCCTAGGGAGATGAGGCAGTGCGGAACCTGGAGAGGTGAGACGGCCTGGATCCTGTTGTTCGCGGTGGTCCCCGCGGTGTTGGAGGCGATGGTCCTGCTAAGGGTCCGTAAAGGCCCCACATAGGAGCCTGCTGGCAGGCAGCCACCTACCAATCCTTTGGCAAAGAAATGACCAAAGCGGGAGAGCAGGGCTACCTTCACGAGTCTACACTGGAGGGGCAGAGACAATCGGGGAAAGAATGAGCGTGGGTTTGGAGGGCGCGTGCCAGGAACTCAGCGGAATCTTCGCCGTGGGGTTACCCAGGCTGCGTGCCACATTGCTTCTGTAGGTTCCGCCGCAGTCGGGCCAAACAGCAGACATTCCCAGTCGACACCTCACCTCGTGGTCACTTTTGGATGCACTCCAGTGGATGGAGAATATTGGCTCGTAGAGTACCTGCGAAAAATTTTCAAGTTAGTTCAAAATAATTGCATTCATAAAAACTAATGGAGCCTCCACCTGGAAAAAGGACAACAATGAATTTCAAATCAATGAATGGAGGACCTGAGGCCTTAGTATGACCAATGTATCATAAACTGTAGATTGGATGAGCACATTTGTGAGAGCTATTGCCTCAATTAGCAGTGAAATCAGCGCCTCGATTCGTTTTATCAATATTTGAACTCATTAAATGATTATACCCAAATGATTAAAGTTTTAAATGCCTGAAATTTACTTTAAAGATACATTAAAATACGTTAATGAAGCAGAAACTGCCGATCCTCAATATACAGAGGGAATTACAAACTTCTTCAGATATCACAGCTGCGCTGTCTGCATTCAGGTTTTCGTCGTCTGTGGTGTAGTGGGAAGCGAGAAGAGTCACCAGTCCGTCCACGAGGCTCGACACCTCGCATTTGCTGATGGTACGACAGCGCTGCTCTGCGTGCACTAATGACGGTCCTGAAGAGGCAAAATATGGAATTAATACAATCACCATCTGTTTTAATCATTAAAGCAAAATATTATCCAAATATTGACGCAGAACCAAGTCGACAGTTTACTAGCATATTTTTTTCTCAGAGCTCAACTGATTTTCAGTGAATAGAGTCGATAAATTAATGACATTTTTGACAATGTGCAGAAAATAAACCAAGAAAAATTCTTCAAACTTTAAATTAAAATTGAGACAACTCGCCCAAGACAGAAAGAGCATGGGTCATATGGCCTCTTTCATGAAAAGCTCACATGAAGATTCAGCTCCTTCAACTTCACTTTAATGAATCCTGTCACAAGTCAAAGTATGATGGCCATGATGAGGCAGAGAAGTGCAGTAAGTACTGCAATACTTCTTGTAAGGGATCTTCTGTCTCCACTCCCATGGCTGGCTCAGCAGGTGATTCAGCTAGAAAATAATTATTGTCGTGTAAATAATTATGCTAACTAATGCCCCATAGTACAAAATTTGTAATTTAATTGAAAAATTATAAAACTAACTATACTGCTAGATAAGTTTAATTCAGCACGCATTGATAGAAAATACAATCACAATGCAATACACAGAAGCTTTTAAATAAAAGCATATTCTATGGGCAAAGCATTGCATAAAATAATATAACAACTTTAACTGTGCAAGGTAATCAATACTCACTTAATTGTTTAAGAAGACTCTTCCAAACTCTTGGATGGTTTTCAGCACTTAAAACGTCTGGACTTCCAGGCTGAAATGCTGCTGGGTGCTTCTTCATTCGAGCCTTGGTGCATTTATTTTTCATTATTGACCATTTCTTGATGATTTTTTATGTAAAATTTAAAACTTATTTGCCTAGTTGACAAATTTTTAATTAGTTATTTTTGAAATTGAAATAAGGGATAAATGACAGTAACAGCGATGATTCTGTGGCTAGCAATGATAGAATAAAATGATAAGACATAGATTAACAATGCATACGTGTGTTCAAATGCGGGTTTTTATGCAAGAAATGAAATGTCCTCAAATGAGGCATACTTGGGGAAACTGATGAGCTGGGGCTAATTCAGATAAAAAAATGGAGCTGTGTTTCTGATTTGATTGGGAGCACATAAATAATGGGATTAATATTTAATTGTGAAACACCAATATATATACAAAACAAATATTATTACATTCTTTTACAGATATACTTGTGCAGTGAAGAACTAAACAGAATTTTTAGAAACTAACTTAACTTGTTTGATGGATTTTGTTTGCATGAATTTCATTTCCCAAAAACTTCAACAATTATAAAATAATTTGTATCTTATCCTCACAATTATTCCATAGCCAATTTTTAGATATTTATACTCTACTATTTTAAATACTGGAATCATATTTTAGGTCAACATGTTGGATGCTCTTAAACAAACTGAATCCACCTTTCCATTTTGTGCAGCATTCCTCATTTTTACCATATCAGTTGTATCATGCTAAAATTGCTATTATTATTAACAATGAAGATTTATTTGGGAATAATAATTTATATAAATTAAATATCATCTCCCACTTGTTTGGAGCTTTGAGTTTTGACGTCAGCTACTTCAGTCAAATATAGAAGTGTTGAATGTGCCTCTTCATTAATAATACAAATTAATTTTTTAATAATCAACTAATCTTTTAATAAAGCAATAAGTTATTTAGTCACTATATAAGCAATACATTTATCAGTCAAAAAAAAAGCACTGACAGAAAGTAGCTTATGTGACTGAATAAAATATTGCTTTATTTAGTGACTAATTATATATGATATTGCTTTATTAACAGACTAGTTGATTAGTAAATAATAAATTTGTTATTATTAATATGACAATACATTCAACACTTCTAGTTCTATATATGACTGAAAGAGCCTCTCTCCTATGTCTAAGGTAGGGCAGGGGTTCCCAAGTGGAAAATTGGGCTGAAGCCACCTGTGAATTGGACAATAGCGCCTATGAATTTGGCAAATTTTACCCATCCCTATGGCATTTTCCTATTTTCTTTGGTATAAAATAGGAAAACTGGCTTAACTTTTCCAGCAGCTTTTTAAAATCAACCATGAAACAATTGTTTTCATTATCAATTTTTGGAAACTTCTGCCCAATATTCCACATTGGGGTAAGGCTGGCGGGCCAATCCCAATTGATGGTACGTCATAAGTCAAAGCTCTGAACAATTAATATAAAATACTAATGTGAATTATTATTCATAACTGAACCCTTATTGTTGCTAATCTTAGTAATTTTAGCATGTTATTATCATGTTAAGAATAATAGGGTTACATAGTAACAATACTGAATGCTTCACTTAGCCTATTGAAGAGTGGACAAAATTTGTTTCAGGGCAGCCAAGTTGCCCAAATTGTGATATAACATGTGATTTTGATTCCAAGTTCCAACCTGATCACAGGATTTAAACTTTAAAGTAACAAAGCATAAATGTTTAGAAGTTGGTGATGGGCATCACTTGAAATATGGATCTGATCACAATTAGCCCATGCCCTGGGCATGGGCTAATGGTGATCAGATCCATATTTCAAGTTGTGCAACAATATGCTGAAGTTTTGGCATATAAAATTGATGTAAACAAAACATATCAACCAAGTTAGGTTAGTTAGTTCACTGGTTAACTGTAAAAGAGACTAAATCACAGTGGAATTTTAGGGTTGATGACGATGAGCAATCTACATTTCAAGAAGCTGTCTCACTTGTTGAAACAAAAATGTCAGCACAGTCAGCAAGGTTTCAAAAAAAAGCTTCACTTGCAAAAATTACAATGCAATATGATATTCAGACCTGCTCATTTTTGTTACCTCTCAAAAAACTACTTTATGAGCAGAGCAGTGTAAATCGCCAACGACAAATTGTCACAAAACTGAGTAACTGACTGAAGTCACCATTCCGCATTCGCCGGGTCGAACCCCTCCGGGCTCCGGCCCTCCCTACTGCGGTCAAATCGACAAAGCCCTCAATAAAAACTATTAGAATTCCACAGGAGTAGAAGCACTATATCCTGAAAGTATCAAAATTTAATACATAACAGTGTGTTTCTCCTCGACCTCGGTGTAAAGCATCACTATCTGGCTCTAGTCTATAGAAGAGTTCAGCAATCGACTGATGTGGAACGAACCAACGCAACTCAAAGTATTAACACTCAAAGAATAGGAGAACAAACATGAGCAACTCAATTGAATAACATACCATTGAATTGATACCATGTCATTGGTACAAAAATCACAGCCAACAACAAAAATTAGTATAAACCAACAATAATAATTTGAATAAATTTAGCTTATGAGCAATGTCTTCCACTCAAGATGGCGTCTAGATAATAACTCGACCGATGACTGTGGCGCCATCTACCGCTGAAGTCCAACAAACCACGGTAAATAACCTGAATGACCGGATTACGGTTAATGAACTTCGAAAACAAACGTGTACTGCACATTTTTCGCCCGTTTTTTCTAACAGTGCAGTCTTCAGCACCGAGCCGCTGCAAGCGAATTTATGCGTTAAAACAAGGATGCCGAGTGCATTCGTTAGTAACTGCTTTGATTGTTTCCCGTGAATGTGTTTTTTTCCGTTTTAACATCAGGTTTGTTACCAGAGTGGCATCGAAGTGTCGTTATGAATTTGGTTATTTTAGAAGAATTACAATTATTAAAAGACAAATTTCTGATATTGCTTATGAGCATGGCTATGTTTGGAGAGCAACTGCAATTTCGACGGTAATAATTGTTCTATTCTTCTTTACAGGCACTGTAGGCAGAATTTTATAGGCCCGTGCAAACGGAACTTACTAGTGACGTCTCTTGAGATGACAAGTCGGTATCAAATTATATCCTGGTCGTTATGCCCGCATGCGGGCGGAAATGAATGCAAGCGGGTCTTGCCTCGAATAGCATTACCGCAAACAATTTATAATGATAATATTATTATACATTCCATCCCTGGAAATACAGGAATTAGCTAACACATTTAAACGCACCATGTTGAAAAGGCTTATACAAATCAAGTTCATGCATTAAAACTGACCCGTGGAAATCCATTGGGCTGTTATTTGTGAAAGTTTTGGGAAAACATTGAGGACTGATAATTGCGGGGGGAATGTTTGGTACTGGGGCCGTATTATCAAAACTTCGTAAGTACGCAAAATTGACTTACGTGTGGCGTGGGAGCTGATATGATTACGTAACTCTAGCGGTGGTATTATCAAATCATTTGCGCGGAAATCTACGTACAAGAAGCCGTACGTAGCTCTACGAATGCCCGGAGGTGTCGTAAGTGGAGTTATACGTACAAGTTTTGAGTGTGCCGGATCAATATAAAACAATAGATTTACTTGCAAAACGGTTTATTATGATCGAATTCTGAAAATAATTTAACATAGGCATAATATGTGATCGTGGTAAACGGTGCTTTTGGGATAAAAATGTCAATTGCCTTTAGTGCTATAATTTACAAGCAAATGTTGATATTCATATCCAAGAGTTTTATGATCATTCACTTGAATAATATCTTAATGCCTTTTTCATTAAAATAATATTGAGGTTGACAAGCCAACCATTTAGTTCTCTATAAACAAATTTATTTATTTTATATCAGTCGCCACTCCAACTCACTAATTTTTCTAAATTCTTTGTAACCTTCTAAAAAATTCTTCTAATTTTGAATGGGAATAATGCATTTGTTTGCCCCCTATTGCAAGAAATTTCGGTTAATGATCACAACAACAGGTGCATTGCTATTTGGTTAACGTCTCATTCATTTATGAAAATACATCCTAGTTAGGCACAGCAAATCCCGCTGACACCACACATCCTGCTTTCATCCGAGCGCACTGCGAGGAGCAGCTAATCTAAAGCCTCTGATTGGTCAGTTAGTCAGATGGTTTTTATAATACTCTATTTTATAGAATACTTGATAATGGTGTATGTATGAGACTGCATGGTACTGGTGTTAGATGAAAGAATGTTTGACACTGGGTTATGTGATAGAATATTTTGCAGCGATGTATGGGGTGTATGTTTGTTACCTGGATTAGAGAAGATTGTTTGGTGCCGCACAGTGAATTAGGTAGAATGTAGAGGTAGGGTTGTTTAATGCAAAAGGCGAGGTTTGTAGTGAAACGCCCCCTACCTTTCCCCCACTATAAGGGAGAAGGTAGGGGGCATTTTTTAAACACGTTTCAGATTCGGCGGTGTCCGTCCCGAAGGTATCATGTACCAAATACGCGCGCCCTGCACTCGCCCCACGGTTGTCATGGAATATACTGAATTCCAATCAGGCGCTTATTTTGCTTGTACAGCCAGAATGTAAAGCGGACATATAGAGGTGCAAATTTACGTTCAAATCGAGCTTGAGGCGTCCGTAACTCAAAAACTGATCACCACTAATTTTCGATAGGGATTGTTGTACCTTCTACCGTTAATGATATTTTTGCAATATGTCGTTTACTATTGGGCTCTCTGCATGTTGGAAACATAGGAGTCTTTAATGAATTGCAAGTATTGTCACATAAACTTCATAAACGAAATTTATTGAATGATTATGATGTTAAACGTCAACAATTTGTGTTGAAAAATGGAATCACAAAACAAAGTTATTACCGGCAGAATGAATATTATTATACACTTTATAACTGCATTTAAAACGTAATCAGTGCTGTATAATAAATGGATCCATCGTAATGATTATTTATGCATACAATAACTTGAATACATTTTTTCCTAATATCCCCCATGGCATAAAAATATACTGTATTTTGGCCAACTAATTTATGCGTAATCTCCTAATTTGGTTAGCAGATAAAATATAATTATTTTCAATATCCAAGGTGAAGAAATACCAGATAGATTGCACTCACTTAGGATCAATAAAAGTAGATTAATTTTAGAGAAAATTTTCATTAAAATAGAGAGCACAGAATGTAAAACAACTGTTCAAATTGATGAATCAAGTGAAAAAATTGAAACGTATGATCATTGGCTTCAAATTGAAACTTATTTAGATCGTGAGCCTAATGACAGCAAGTTTATTAATCAGAAGCAAAATCAGTTTCCACTACAATCTCAAAGTAGTTTTTAGATCGAAGTACCATCGAAAGAGGATGGCAGTAATTATAATCATATATAGATGACAAAATATAAATAATAACAGACAGTGGGGAGAAGGCTTTTAGCAACCAGCCAAATTGTGTCATTTGCTGCTGAAGAAACTGCAGATATACTCGTACATTCCAAAGCACCAGTTCTGCAGGGGCTTTCTCCTTCTTTACCGTGAGGATCTGGTGTACCGGTAGAAGCATGAGCTCCTGACAGCCAAAGAGCACCAGAAGAGAAGGCATGAGGTAGGATATCAGCAGCAGGTGCACGGGCAGCGGTACTCAGCACAAAAAAAATTGTACAGCAGTACAATTTTTTGTGTTCTAGGAAATATACCGTCTCTCCTATACCGGGTCGTCTCTCCTATAGGAAATATACCGTCTCTAGGAAATATACCGGTTCTTCCTATATACCGTCTGGCACACGCCAGACGGTATGATTGTGTCAGACGAGCGGGAGCGGGTATGTTCCGAAATTCGTAATGTACTAGGGGCGGGAACTCGCACTGCCTGTAACTATTTACCTACATTTTTTGACAACGACCAAGATATTTCTTTCTACTTATAGCCAATGCACTAATTCTCTGCTTACACTCGAATTAAGTTAGCATCGCCACGAAATATGAGGCAATCATCATGTCCAGCCTCAACAAAACATACAGATTTGAATTAACTTATTATACACGGGCCAGGTGACAAATAAAAATCAATGTTTTGTATTTCCTCAACATTTACACTTAACATCAATATTTACATTGTTAATTATGGTTCCGCAGCTGAAAGCTGCCAGGTCAGCGGAGTCAAACAATGCGCGTATATGAACCTCGTTCAAGGAAGGCACTTGGCAAACTGAGTCAAAGCGTTGATTTATGACTCATGTGCCGTTCTGCTGCGGCTACTGCTGCGTGAAGTAAGGCAAGTGCTTCACTATGACCCACTTCTGAGAATGACTCACTTGTGGAGGCGAAAATTTCTCTCAGTCCAAATAATCAAGAAAAAGTTCTCGATGTCGAAATTACTTTCAAACGACTAACTTGTAGAATGTCAGCTTACAATCATTGCGATGAAAATAAGATTAAATTTTATCGCCATAAAGAGAATAAAGTTCGATTTTCAATTGCATATTTCAATCGACAATTAAAATGGACAATTGTTGGACGTTGAATTAGATAAAACGCCTAACTTTGGTACCAAGATCAGGAACTCATAATCATTTTAACACTTCAACTGCTAGAGATAATTCAAAACTTTCATAAGCACTATCTAAGCACTGAGGTTAAAAAACGTTTTTTTTCTACTGAATAATGACTGGTATCTTGAGCAAAACTTGCAAATTAATTTTGATAATAATAATTATGTAGTAGTTTATCAAATAATGCTAGATCATTCATCTCGGGCAAATTTTCCTGTTGCATGCATACATTATTTGTTTTTTAGCAACCTATTTTCATATACTAGATATCAGTTGGAAAATAAATTTCATTTTTTGTGCACTACCTTTCGCCAAATCAGTTTCCGTGACACCTGGTGTATACTCACGGAAACACCTGGTGTTTCCGTGACACCTAGTTTAAATGACGCCCCAAGTTTCTATCTTCTTGAAGTAAAGATTTTCTGGTTAATTGATGCTGCTTTGCTGGGAAACGTCCATGGACGTTAGTACGTAGTCCATAGTACAACTATTCCGGTCAATCGGACATTAAGCATGCTGGTATGAGTAAGCATGCTGGTATGCGTAATTCCGTTGCAACTCATACCTGTGCAATACAGTTGTATGAACATACTGTTAGGGAGAACACGAAGATCTTCCCCTTCTCGAGGTTTCACTATAAAGGCTGAAGCGGAACTACATATAGACATGTAGGCAAGAACTCTTTCTCTTTGGCTATATCATTTTCAGAACCTCCAATGAATTGAACCGCTTTATAACATGGCTTTACTGATAAATCTACGTACGAAAACAAGCAGCGGCCAGAAACTGCCACAAAATCTTGTTTCCTTGAGCCATGGCGGCGGAAATATGACGGAAAAACTGTCCTTATTGGTCTTGTAGAATTTAGGATCCCATATTGAAATTGATCTATGTATTGTTCATTTCCCCTCCCATTTCCTGCCGCCTTATTCCTAGTATATAGTTCCTGACCTCAATATTGTAGGTGCGTTCAGGTTGCAGTCCCGGGATTGTGTGGCAGAAGTGGGCAGCGCTGTCGCTGCACTCCGACGCTTGGACGTAGTGAAGGACTCTAGCCGCCGTGACGCGGTAGCCGCTGATGGCTGCCATGGGAGGACAAGGTTTCCTCCACCGCAGGCTGATGGTAGTGGACGTCGTGGAAGAGGTCAACACCTCCACAGGCCCAGGAGCTGACGATAACCACGGAATGTTTGAATTAGAAGAGGTGTCTTCTAATTCAAAATTTTGAGCGTACTCTTACTATTTGCTTTACTTAAAAAACAATACTTCCAGAGATAAGAAGGCAATATATTTAATAGATTTGCATACAGTAAATGACATCGGCGTCATCTTCATTTGCGACAGCAAGTGAGGAATTTATAGATAATGGATATGGAGTCTCAATTATAGCAGTAAAGAGAGGCAGTCGCGCTCACCTTTGTCCTGCAAGGTCTTGAACACTTCGCACTGCTTGCTGTCTCCTCCCTCGTTGTAGGCGTACACGCACACCTCGTACTCAGTGTACGCCTGCAGCTGCGCCAGTTGCAATTCAGATGTGCTCAGATTGCGGAAATGTTGATCATTTTCGACATCATTGGAGGCACAACCGGCTCTTCCCGTCATCTGAGAAAAACAGGCAAAATTGTGAAACTTGCGGTTTGAGGACGTTTCTTGAACCATGTTAACAACCGCAGCTTTATACTCCCACCCCCGGATTCATACATGATCTCTACGGCCTAAGTGTGTCCTTACAACATGCTTAGAACAATGAACTAAAATTTGTCAATTCTTCTTGGTAACATTCCATGACGATATTCCTGAGCAAGACCACACAAAAGGCAATGCTTCTGCAGACAAACGGCATGTAATATCACGATGATTTCTCAATTGAGAGTGTTTATTTTTTCAGATTTATGCTTTAATCGTCATGGTTTTTGGCAAATTGTCACAAAAACACAGCCGACTTAACTGTTTCTAATTTAAGTTAACATTGATCATTTATTGAGGACATGTCTTCAATCTCTAGGCGGGCATTCGGTATTGGCGTCCTTGTTTTTATTCGAGCCTTCAAATCATCGAAATCAGCTCAACTGAAATAATTGCAAGTTTCTCACCCCCAGAGTCACGTTGAAAAACTGTCCCCGCAGAGCCGTCCAAGCCACGCTGGCGGAGGTCACAGCTGGCGCCACGCTCAAGACAGGGACCGCAGGAGCTGTCGTGAAATGATGAGCAATGAATGCAAATTTTATACGCAGTAGAATTTCGTATAAGTATCATCTAATATAATTATTATCGCATATTAGCTACCATATATCGAACCTTCCACGAGAAACGACTGATTAAGCGGCCAGTAGGAACTAATTTAAGAAATGGTTTTAAATTAAAAATAATAATTTTGAATAACAGATACTGCTTACGAAGGATGGAGATAAGTAATTTCAAGGTCTCTCTGACCTGCTAGTCCTGTCGTGACGCTTATCACTTCAGCTGCAGAACATGCGCTGTACAAGTCAGCGGCGCAGTTTTGTACCTGCGGGACAGGAGACGTTTGCATTACCACACTGAGCGGTACAGTTCGGACATAAATGTAAGGTAAATTCTATGCGCGAAAAAATGCCCTTGCAAGCACTCGAGGAAATCAGGTAAATGTAATTGATTTCGGGAGATTAACAACTTACAAATAGTATAGGATATAGGCATACCAGCAAACTTGCTCTAATACCCTCAATCTGTAGCCGTTTCCGTTAACTGATGGCTGTCAAACTTAACATTAGAGATCACCGGCATACTTATTGTATATTAAGAATATGGCTCTTTGTTCAGATGATTGTTCAGAATGAAAACTCGTTGTGGATTGTAACGGTTTCTGAAAACAAAGAATGAACAATTTGAACACAAATTGAGGTTATTCGAGATTATAAACAATATAGAAAAAATAGCCAAGGTTAACAAGTAATAAAAAGGATCATAACATAAGTAAATGATAACATACCAAATTGCTGAACAATCTCGGTCAAGTTTGGTTCAAAATGAATTTTGTCTGAGCTCATTAACTCTGGTCCTGCCTAAAAGGTCCCAACCTTATGTATACGAGAGAAGTACGTATGCCTAGTAAAATTCTTTACATTGTGAATAATTCAACTGATTTGGCAGCATGCTGAGGGTAATCTCTTTAACACAGGCCTACATTAACCCGAGGATGTTTACTCGCCACCCTGGTAATGAATCAACCTTGCAGAACCACTAGTTTTTGCGTGGAATAACAGACAGACTTGCTGCAGAACTGATTTTTTATGCCAAGCTTAAAAAATTACTAATTTAAAGCTTAAAAATTTTAATTGCTCTTAATTTATCTCTTTGCTTATAAACAAATTGATCTACACAGTTCCAACCAAAATTATGTTATGGAATGTCAAATAAAATAAAATTTGTTCTTCAATCATGTTATCTACAATTAAGTACAGAGATTTTTTATATTATGACATAGTACAATAATAAAGTTCAAACCTATGGGAGATGCCATTAATGTGTTTAGATGAACTATTGAGCCTTAGGCATCATAACCTTCAAAATAAAATCGGATTATTCGAATTTAATCACGCATGACACATTGATATATGGCTCATTTTCGTTCTTTGTGATTTGTCGCGAAAATAAATGAATAAAAATATTTGTATTGAAATCACTTGGCTGCTTGAGTCGCAAATTTACCAGGAAATTAAAAGTAAAGAAAATAGCCAAAAAGTTCACCATTTCTTATAAGAGAAAACGTTTCGGAGTCCAGCTCCATCGTCAGTTCAAAACCTAGAACACAGGTACAAACAATTAGTACCTAGCCTAAAATTCACATTCAAACAATTCACCTAAACTTGAGGACATTATAACTAAAATCGAAGGTTACAGAAATAAAAATGAGATAACATGTAGAGAAAGTACTATCTATTTACAATTTGTAGAGGATAGGAACTGAATGCAGCATTTAAACTGGGTTTCTGTTTGAAAATATATAACGATTCTAAAATTCGTAGGTCAGAAACACCGGTTGTGGAGGCTAAAACTCTAAAATCACTATTGGACACCGGAACGTTGCACTGCTCGGCATGAATACGTACGGCTGAATGAGGGGGATGCGCAAGTATGTTCCCTGTTCTATAACTCCTATTCTTTTTAGCTTTTGAAAGGCTTGTTCTTAGCATAAAAAATGTTTCTATTACCAACCGTCCCGAATTTCTTGGCAATTTGCAGAGCTTGGCTTACCGTCACTTTTACGGCTTCAAGTCATATAAAGTTTTCTCAACTGTTTTCCAGCCCCGTGACATCCTTTTATCGAAGGATCTAGCTAAAAATAAAGACTTAATCGTTTGTAAGCCAGATAAGGGCAAGGGAGCAGTATTGGTTGATCGTCATCGTTATAATAGTAGTCTCACTACCCTAGTTACAGACCCTTCTAAATTTATTGAAATTATAGATCCAATTGCCAAAACTATTTTGAAGATCGAGGACAAAATTAATAATTTCCTACGAAAACTTAAAGATTCCGCGGCATTGTCACCTGAAACTTACTTCAAACTTTATGCTTCTGGCTCAGCTGAGGGGGAGTTAGTATAAAATACCAGGGCTCATGCCCTGGTATTTTATATGGCTTGCCAAAAATTCATAAACCAGATTTCGCTTCAAATTTTTAATTTCGCCCAATTTTTTCTGCTTACAATACTCCTAGCTTCAAACTTGCTAAATTTCTGGTTCCAATTTTGAGCTGTCTTACCACCAATCAACATACGGTAGACAATACTTACATGTTTGTGGACCGCTTGAAGTGTTTCAATAATGTTCAGGGCTTGACTATGGCTTCATTTGATGTAGAAAATTTGTTCACTAACATACCGCTTTCTGAAACTATTGATATTTGCCTCAATTCTTTGTTTAAAGGTTTCAATGAACTTGTCATGGGTCTGATCCGAAACTTTTTTAAATCTCTTCTCGAATTATCAGTTTTGAACTCTGTTTTTGTATTTGCTGGCAAATTTTATAGGCAAATTGACGGTCTAGGCATGGGTATTCCTCTCGGCCCTACCTTTGCTAATATTTTCAGGTGTTATCACGAGGCTACATGGTTGGCAAATTGTCCTATTGATTTTAAGCCAATTTTCTACAACCGATATGCGGATGATACATTTGTAATTTTCAAACATCCCTCTCATGTGGGTCGTTTCTTTGATTATCTTAATCGGCAACACAAATCCATCAAATTTACTATGGAGCTTGAATCCAACAATAGTTTATGCTTTCTTGATTGCAAGGTTATAAAATCCGGTGGCAGTTTCCAGACATCTGTGAACAGAAAATCGACGTTTACCGGCTTAAGCACCAGCTTTTTTAGCTTCTGTTCTTTTCGTTTCAAATTAAATGTGATTCAAAAATTATTAAACCGCGGTTTCCGAATTTGCTCACTTTCCATAGTATGCACACTGAATTTGAATATTTGCGCAGTATGTTCTCACTGAATTGGTTTCCGTCACAATTTGTGTATACTCAAATTAAGAAATTCTTGTCTAAACAATATGCTGAGGTGGTTCCCGAACGTGACGATAGGAATCGTGTTTATTGTTCTTTTCCTTACTTTGGCCCCGCATCTGAGACGATGGCAAAGGAGTTGAAAGATCTGTTCTCTAAATACCTCCCAAATGTAAATCTTAATGTACTGTATTGCTAGTGAACAATTTTAAAATTAGCTCGTTTTTCAAGCACAAAGATCCTCTCCCTGTTCTTATGCGATCATCCCTAGTTTATCAACATAGTTGTGCGCAGTGCGCATCTGCGTATGTCGGTATGACATCGCGCAATTTTTATACTAGGCTTGCAGAGCATAGGGGCAGGAGTTATAGAACAGGGAACATACTTGCTTGCGCATCCCCCTCATTCAGCCGTACGTATTCATGCCGAGCAGTGCAACGTCCCGGTGTCCAATAGTGATTTTAGAGTTTTAGCCTCCACGACCAGTGTTTCTGACCTACGAATTTTAGAATCCTTATATATTTTCAAACAGAAACCCAGTTTAAATGCTGCATTCAGTTCCTATCCTCTACAAATTGTAAATAGATAGTACTTTCTCTACATGTTATCTCATTTTTATTTCTGTTATCTTCGATTTTAGTTCTAATGTCCTCAAGTTTAGGTGAATTGTTTGAATGTGAATTTTAGGCTACTAATTGCTTGTACCTGTGTTCTAGGTTTTGAACTGACGATGGAGCTGGACTCCGAAACGTTTTCTCTTATAAGAAATGGTGAACTTTTTGGCTATTTTCTTTACTTTTAAATTCCTGGTAAAATATTTGTAATATTCATCCAACTGTTCCAGATACCCCAGTTTTCAATTCGTCTAACATCGTCTCTGTGAAGGAAACTAATAAAAATAAGGATATTTTGCTAAATTTGCATGCTTCATCACGCGTGCTGGACATTTAACTATAAAACTGATAACTTGCAATAAATTAGCAATAAACTATCCTTATCTAAATCCGCTAATAGTGAATATATGCATGAGTTGAAATAATTTTTTCGCAATGCATTGACTGGCAGAGTTATTTTTTTCAACACTGCGGAGAGGAAATTTTACTGCAAGAAATGCATTCAAAAATGCCACCTGATGATCAGTCAGAACAAGTCCCCAAAGTTTTTTTTTTTAAATTAACACACCTATTTCTTCAGTGATCCAAGAACCAAGGTGCGGAGAAGACTTGATGAAGAATATAAAAGAGTTAATTCATAGGACAGAGCTCGTGGTGCGAGGTATATTTTAGAGTGAACATACAAAAACGATTGACAGAAATAAGTCAGATGATATTCTAGCCGTATAAGCAGACGAAATTACTAAAAATGATTCTGAACAAAATAGAACTGATGCATAATTTGTTAACGCTATAATGGCTGTCAAAAGTTATGCTGGTCTAAGGATTTCAAAAACGTAAAAGCCCACTCTCATATAAAGTATATTATAAGGCTTAAAGTGGTTTTGCAGGGACCAATCCACTTATTCGCAAGAGTGATTTATCTCCAGTACAAGTCACGAATTAGTTAGTCACAAGGAACACATACTCTGTACAAAATTACTGTGTAATTCAGAAACTTGTTACATATGAAATCAAGATGTAAAAATTAGACTCCCAAGTTCAATGCACTCCAGTACCGTGACTACCGCATGTTCCAGAATGTTATAGTCACTCTCTGTATTAGGCTAGGCCGCTGGCCAAACACCAGGCCAGTATATCTTCAGACGCCGCACTATGCAGACCTGACCACTCGGTCTTGTCTGCAGCTCATAGCACTTTTGAACTGGGCCCACATTCACTTATGCATACACTAATACTCGCTTTTCGAGCCTCTCCTTGATTTCTCCGAGTTATCAGGGTACGGAGACGAGCGATAGTTAGCGACTCACAAATAGCGAGCAGCACGTAGCGCACTCTGGCTTATTTACCTTGGCGGTTGGCGTTTAAGGACCCGCGGATTCGTAGAGAGCAACGATCTTCGCACTGGCATCCTTAAGGTGAGATCACGGTACTACCTCAGGAGTGCACATGGTTTGCTTCCAAGAATTAAACTAAAACTCAAGTTGACGCAAATATGAGAAAGTGGTATGATATTTTGCAAGTTTAGTTGGTAATTGCAATGATAGTTATCGCAAATCAATAAAAATTGTTACTGTTGAAGCTTCGTTGCAGCAGAAAAGTGAAACATTTTAAACGAATTTAATCCCTGAGACGAGAAGCGTTTTAAGATAACTTAAGAGAGTTAGAGATTTGAGATTGAGATAACATTAGACGGAAACCGGAAGTATGTAATCAAAGATACACGCCTAATTTCACACCCCAGTTATTATTCTCTCTAAAATTTTAGATAACAAACCAGTAATTTACAGATTGAATGATTAAATGGCGACGAAGTAAAAAGTAGCTTTTAAGGAGAATTATTTCAAAAATATTGCAGCAATGTTTATCAAATCGAAAAAATGATAAACAAATTAAAGAAAAAATGTAATTAGAGTAGACGGAGTATGATGATCCATCTTGCAGTTGGACACACATCATGTTGAACACATACTAAGTTAAACTCGCATTAATTTGAACGCACATCACATTCATATTAAACTGCTACTAAAATTAGGTTAATTTTTTTTTAAATTAAATCAAGTCAATTATTCGTTCACACCCATATGATCAAGAAAAAGTTTCGTTGTCGAGATTACTTTCAAACGATAAATTTGGAGAATGCCAGCTTATAAACTTTCCGATGAAAATAAGATTGAATTGTATCGCCATAAACCTAATAAAATTCAATTACTAACTGCATATTTCAATCGATAGTTAGAATAAACAATTATTGTCAGCCCAACTCAAAAATTCTTTGATTGGACTTTGGTACCAAGTTCTAGAGCTCAAAAACCACGTTATTTCATTTTAGAAGTTCAGACAGAAAACGAAATGTATCTAGATCAAAACTTAAAAATTTATTTTGATAATAATAATTATGCAGTAGTTTGTAAAATGATGATCGATTATGCACTCAAAGCAAATTTTGCACTTGCATACAGAGATTATGTGTTTTCACATCCTACTTTTTATATAAATGTCAATTTTGGAACAGTACCTTTTCGCTAAATTGATTACCGTCACACTTGGTGTATACTCAAATTATGAAATTTAAGCCGAAGCAATATTCTGAAAATGCTTACAACAGGACCGTAGATTGTTGTTCATCTCCAAACTTTGGCTCCGCATCCGACACAATGTCAAAGGACTTCATAGGTTAAGTCACTCAAAACCTTCCAAATGTCATTCTATAAGTACGGTTCGTGTATAATTTAAAAATCAGCTTGTTCTTCAAGCATACAAATCCTATCCCTGTTCTCATCCCTCCCTAGTTTCTAAGGATGGAGGGTTTCTACCCCTCCCATCCCTAGTTTCTAAGACATTTATTGAATTAGGTAAGGCGCATCAGCGTACGTCTGCATGATATCACGCAATTTCTATAATAGGCTGGCGGAGAATAAAAGGAGGGGTTATACTGTAGAACAGGAAACGTGATTGGACATCCCCCTCAATCAGCTGTATGATTCATAACGAGCAGTGCAACGTCCCGATATGCGATTGCGATTTTAGAGTTTCAGCATCCTCAACAGGTGTCTTTGACCAGTAAATTTTAGAATCCCTGCATACTGTCAAACTAATACCAAGTGTGAATGAAGCTCTAACTTTCTATCCTCATAAAATTGTAAATAGTTAGGTGTGCCTGTTTGTGTTTTTCATATGATTTTTTCATTTGTAAATTTAGGCTTTTGATACCTGCAATGTGAATTTTAGTTTACTAGTTGATTGTACTTGTGTTCTACGAGTTAGCACTGACGGTAAACCTGCTTTCCGAAAGGTCTTTTCATTAGAGAAAGGCTGAATTTCTTGACTATTTTTCTCGCTTTAATCAGAGTGATTACATCGATTGCGATATGCCCTTTGCGGAGCTTCAAGAAATGTGTTATGAAATTTACGAAATTTTTCATACGTTTTTGTTAATCAATAAGGAATAGCACATCTGCTCTGAAAATTATTTAAAAAATTCGGATGCATTGGAAGCACAACAAGTCCTGTCAATTGGGCAGACAGATTGTGGCCAGTATGCTGGTGTGCGTAATTCCTATGCTACATATTAATGTAAATTTAGATGAATATCCTCGGAGAGCATGGCTATCTTCCCCCTAATCAAGTTAATTACAAAAATAATCACCAGAAAAAAAAGCCACAAAATCCCTGAACAATTGAAATATAATGACGGAAACTGCCCTTATTGGTATTTGGTGATTTCGGATCAGATGTAAAAAAATTTCTGAACTTTTCATTGACCCTCCCGTTTCCCACTCGCATCATCACAATGATGATGTACCGCCTTATTCCTAGTACGCAGTTCTCTACACTGAGCCTGACCTCAATGTTGTACGTGCGTTCAGGTTGTAGTTCCTTGATGGTGTGGCAGAAGTGGGCAGCGCTGTCGCTGCACTCCGACGCTTGGACGTAGTGAAGGACGCGGTTGCCGCTGATGGTGGTGACGCGGTAGCCGCTGATGGCGGCCATGAGAGGACAAGGTTTCCTCCACCGCAGGCTGATGGAAGTGGACGTGGCGGAAGAGGTCAACTCCTCCACAGGCCCAGGAGCTGATGATAAACACGGAATGTTCGAATTAAAAGAGGTGTCATGAAATTTTGAGCTTACTCTTTCTATTTGCTTTGTCAAAAAAATACTTCCAGAGATAAGAAGGTAATGTATTTAATATTTGTATGCAGTAAATTATTACTGCATCATCTTCATTTGTGACAACGAGTGAGGAATTTAGAGGTAATGGATATTTAGTCTCAATTATATCAGTAAAGAGAAGCAGTCTCCCTCACCTTTGTCCGGAAGGGTCTCAAACACTTCACACTTCTTGTTCATTCCTCCCTCGTTGTAGGCGTACACGCACACCTCGTACTCAGTGTACGCCTGCAGCTGCGTCAGTTGCAATTCAGCAGTGCTCAGATTGTGGAATGGTTGAATATTTTTGATATCATTTGAGGCGCAACCTGCTTGTCCCGTCATCTGAGGAAAACAGGCATAAAATATTGAAACTTGCGGTATGAGGACGTTCTGTCACGTTGAAAAACTGTCCCCGCAGCGCCGTCCAAGCCACGCTGGCGGAGGTCACAGCTGGCGTCACGCTCAAGACAGGGACCGCAGGAGCTGTAGTGAAATGATGAGCAATGAATGCGAAGTTCATCCAGTGGAAGTACGAGAATAGAAAGGGGGAATAATTCATGACTAGATATTTTATACACAGTGGAATTTCGTATATGTAAATATCATCTAATATATATATTAACGCATATTAGCTACCATTTTTCGAACCTTCCACACGAAACGCCCGATTAAGCAGCCTGTAAGAACTAATTTGAGGAATTGTTAAAAAAAATGAATAATTAAAGTTGAGTAGCGATGACTGCTTATGTTGAGATGAAGATTAGTAATTTCAGGATCTCTTTCACCTGCTAGTCTCGTCGTGACGCTTATCACCGCAGCAGCAGAACATGCGCTGTACGAGTCAGCGGCGCAGTTTTGTACCTGCGGGACAAGGGAAATTTATATTACCACAACTGAGCGGAGTTGTTTGAGCATAAATATACGGTAAATTTTATGCATGAATAAATGCCCTGGCGAGCACTCATGGAAATCAAGTAAAAAGTAATTGATGTGATGATGTCGGGAGATTAGCAAAATACAAATAGTATCGAAAGTACGCATACCAGCACACTTGCTCGTATGTATCTGCCTGCCCAATTGACCAAACCAGTTGCACTCTCAATCTGTCACCGTTACCGTTTAACTGATGGCCGACAAACTTAATTGTAGAGATCACCAGCATACTTGTCCCGAATAGTTCAACTGATTTGGCAGTATGCTGATGGTAATCTCTTTAACACAGGCCTGCATTAACCTAAAGATATTTACTCTCCCCCCTGGTAATGACTCAACCTTGCAGACCCAATAGTTTTGCGTGGAATAACAGACTTGCTGAAGAACTGGTTTTTCATGGCAAGCTCAATCAATTCCGGTGATGATAGCAATCAAAATTACTTCATTGTTCCTAATTTATCTCTTTGTTCATAAACGAATTGATCTGCACAGTTCTATCACAAATTATATTATGGAACGTCGAATAAATAAAATTAGTTCTTCAACAATATTATTGGGATATTAACAAGGACACTAAGTTTTTCAAATTATGACATAGTACAATAATAAAGTTCAAACAGATAGAAGATGCCATTCATGTGTTTGGATGAACTATTGATCCAAACCTTACACATCATATCCTTCAAATAAAATTGGATAATTCGAAATTAATTACGCTTGACTCATTGATATTTGACTCATTTTCATTCTTTGAGGTTTGTCGCGAAAATAAATGAATGAAAATAATTGTTATATGTACATGTCCAATTGTTCTAGATATACCGGTTTTCACTTCGTTTTACATCGGGTCTGTGAAGGAAAGCTCGTTACAAATGTGATTTCTCGCTAAATTTGCATGCTACATCACGCGCGCCGGATATTTAGCCTCACTAATAGCTGAGTCTTGACGACGTGTGCATCTGTACGTTCTTCCTTTTTTCAGTCAGCGCTGTTCTGCTGTACTGCTGTTCGCACCGGTAAGCTAGTCTATAATTGTGATAATTGTCTTTGCTTCTAGAACATGCCTTGCCATACTGCGCCGTTATTTATGCACATTTTAATTTGGCCTCGTGGGTATTCGATATTGTTGATGTGAATGTATTTAGGCGAATAATGTGGATTTAAGTTGCTTCCTTGCGCTTGTTTATGGTAATTTCAGCCAGCCTTTTTATGATATCTGAAGCGTTTCAAATTAATCAGTGAGTTGCAGAATGCTACATAGCTAGTTAGAAATTTTCTGTACCTGCCTATATTATAAGCGCCCCAATGGGCTCCTCAATGTTAACGCGATAGCGCAGGACCTGTATCCTGATGCTGACGATGTTCGTTTTTTATCGCATTTTCTCATTTATGTAAAAATGCACTCTTGTGCTCGCCATGTTTGTCTGTCCGTCCGTCCGTGACTTCACGTTTTCGTCGACGAGAAAATGCGCTCTCTGTCACTCACTGCAGTGAGTACCGAGTTATATTTTTTGAGGTACGCTTGTGTGTCAGCTTTTGGTTGCTGACCACGTCACCTCCGTAGCCACATTTGTGTCTCTAGTTACACTAAATAGTGTGGATTAGCACGGCGTATCTACTTAAGTTCAGTGTGGCTGTTTCGCCACGACGTCACATTTCACGGCCACTTCGATCCTTAAGCTTCTCATCTTTGCTTGAGTTGAATTGGAGCACGTATGCGTGTGTGACGGGACACAATTTTTATGAATAATTTTTTAGGAATATTCTTTAACTTCTGATTCAACTCAAATGATTTAGCATATGCATGACATGACAGATAATGGTTGAATACATTTATTTTATGACTAGAATATGGAGTCTCATTTTACTGTGTTATTATTTAGTAAATTCAAGGGATTTAATTATTAACAATATTAATTATTAAATTATTTTATTATTATTAATTAATTAGTTAGAACAGCAAATGATTGAAAATTTTCCAAATAAAGAATTATTCAAGAAGCTTGGAATTCAATGGTTTGCTTCAGAGGATTAAAAAATTATATGATGGCACACGCAAAGAAATCACAGCAGGAAAACAGTTTAGCAGCAGCATTGCAGCAGGAATCTCAGGAAACTGTCCGGTGGTAAAAATCGAGACAGGGAGCAGCCGCATATTGGCAGGAATTTCACAGCGTCATATACATACTGTATATAGGCAACGGCTTGCCGTCAGTGTCCGTTTCGAGGCAGGTTGAGAGCAGGATATCAATAGGGGTGAATTGGGGGTTTGGTAAGAAGTGGGAGAGAGAGTGAGTTTCTATGTTGACAGCTAGTGTACTGAAACGTTTTGTATACTATGTTTATTGAAATCGCAACTATACGTCATAACAAAGGCGGAGCACATATTATCTTGCTCACATTTTGTATGTCATATTATACGGTGGTGACTCAATGTATTAAAAAACTTTCTTGTCGATGAATAGAAAAGCAATAGATGAGTTTTTAAATGAATTGTAACGTAAAGAGTTATTTAGGAATGATTAGCATATAATCCCATATTTCATCTACAATGAACAAGCTTCCTCCTGAAAAACTGTTTGATTTCCTGAAATAAATCTAGCAGCTCGTAACATGTTATAAATTTTAAATATTGATCAGAAATATTTATCAGGAATATTTTGACACAAAGTCAGTCAAATTGATTTTTTAAACAATGCTCGGAATATTATTATTCTTCATAAATTTTCGAATTAACAAATAAATAACGATTTATGGCGCAAGTCGTAATTTGAGAAAGAATTGAGGTAAAAAAATTGAAATACACCCTAAAATTTCACAATGTGGGAGTATATTTTGAAAATTTGTTGAGACAATAACATAAATAAATTTACAAAGTGTGGTAAGACGTCGAATAATTTTTCCAGTGTTTTAATGAATTATTCTATCCAAGAAGGAATTTTTGAAAGACTGCATTAGAAATTTGAGAAACATCCCTTTTCACTGTCAAGGGGAAAATGCTTCAAAATAGCGTAATGTCAAGCGGCGTTTTTCGTCATGGCTTGTTGCAGTGCCTGTGAATTCCAAGTGCATGATGCATAATGTTGTTCATTGTTTACGATGAGAAAAAGCACAATGCTTACCATCCTGCATGAAAAATGGAATGTGCTTATAGAAAGGAGATGTCATCTGTAATAATCAACAATGACGTTTATTTCTTGAACTTAGAATTACGTATTGCTGGCCCGCCAAAGTCCGAACTTAGTTCGAAGGTCTGAATATGATTGTTGTAGTGTAGGACTGATGGCATCTGAATTCTGAATCAATCGTCTAGTGAAGGTAAGCTACAAGTAGTTTTACTAGAAATGCATGTCAGTTGATTTTCTGTTGACGTAAAAAAATAATGTAAATTGCATTTCCTCAAATTTATTAATCATTCTTGTATCATATATGAATGTATATGTAGTGATGGTTCATTTGTTCAAAATTAATCAGACTAGGGCACTTGTTGATCCGACACTATCAATATCAGCCAGGTGTAAAAGAAAGGATAATTTGCATGACTTATAAACCATATGAGATTTATTACCTACTGTTAATTTCCACCTTTACAGCACCAGTCCAATTTCCAAATGTCCAAAAGAATAGTCTATCACATGCACTCCTAACTAGTTTCATATTGAAAATCATCAGACATTGAGAAGCATAGGCTTAAAAATAAAATAGAATGGTGCCAGTTGATATTTTTATTTGTGTTCAGATAAGTTGAATTTACTTTACTAAAAAGTCCCTCAGTCACAATGCTTTCACTTGAAGTGACAGAGAATCTGAGACTTACATTGTAAAAGCTACCTATATTGCTTGTTCCTTGAAGTTCAGCCTGCAGAAAAATTGAATTTGGGCTGGAATTGCAACTAGCATCCGTGATTTACTTTTGTGCCGAGAAAATTAATTGCTTTTAATTTGTAAGAGAATATCTGCAGTATTACTTTACCTAATTTATTAAAATTTCTAGTTCCTGTCTGCCTGCTGGGAAAGCGTCCAAGGATGCGCAATGTCAAGTTCCTGCCAATATTACAGCCTGGCCTCGCTACATTGCCAAATGAATTGCTGTGTACCAAGGTGAGCATGAATTTTATACTAGAAAGCCTTTTTAACAATTTCCTCTCATAATGTTATGACGTAGCAATTGATCTCACAATTTTGCAGTAATAACAATGGTGAGAGAAGAATTTGTTTAAAAATTTCATAATTGTTTTGTGGATTTGAAAATATTAGTGAAATATCCAATATCTTGTTTTCAAATCATACAATGTGCTGTGCTTTGACAGTTTGACATGATATAACATTAATGATTGATGATCTTTGTGTAGTGTGATTCAATATTATTTGCAGGCTCTTATAGTTTATGGCAATATTAAATATTGACA